CTAGAAGAAGTTGTTCTTCATTTCCTGCCCACTCCAACATGCAAACTGTATTGAAGCTGTGTGACCTTCTCCAGACAACTCCTACAGCTGTCCCCACTGCCAATCTCTGTCCTTTCCTGTGCCAGTGTCACCCGTGGGCCTTGGGCTGCTGCCCCCCACCCAAGAGTGATGACCTCTACAATGGCCTCTAACTAAAACATCTGATTCCTTCCTTCCTTCCTTCCTTCCTTCCTTCCTTCCTTCCTTCCTTCCTTCCTTCCTTCCTTCTTTCTTTCTTTCTTTTGTTGTTTTAAGAAAAGGCCTGACTGCAGTCCTATCTTGGAACTTACTATACAGACCAGGTTGGCCATGAAATCACAGAGATCTGCCTGCCTCTGTCTCATGGGTGCAGGATTTATAGGTGTACACTACATCGTCCAGCTCTGAGCCCTACTCTTGCTAGGGTTCTATGTGTCTCCTGAGAACCTCAAATGACAAATGTTCCATGATCTCACATCTCTTGTTTACCCATGCTTTGGCATCGGGGAGCAAGGTTGACACAGCCCTGTGGTCACTTTTTCAAGGGACAATGTAATGAATCCTACACAATGATGCTGCATGGCAGTGGTTCTTTTTCCCAGGATCCTGTGCTAGAAATCTGTGGGAATGGAAGGTCTGTACAGTTATTCTTACAAATATTGTATATAGATTTTCTTGGACAGGAGAGGCAGTCAGAAGTCACACTGTGGGTTTCTTCCCATTTCCTTTGCTCTGGCCTGACTGAACATACTTCTGTGGGAAGAGTGCAAGGAACACTTATTGTAACTGAAGCTGCAATAGTAGATGGAGAACTGTTCATGAGTTCTCCAAGTATGGTGACTACAACCATATGGAGATCTTGGAAAGCAAAAAAGTTATGTTAAGACAGTCTGTGAGAGTGGACTCGGGGCAAAGCCTCTCGCCCTGGCACACCGAGATCCTGCTGTCTCAGTCCAGGCAAAGATACAGGCCAGGGCATGGAAGAAGCCTGCAGAGAAACCTTTCTGAGGAAGTGAATTGTTGATGGTTTGGGCTTCCCTGAATTCTGTTTTCAAGTCAGTAAGTGAAGGCACTATGCCAGGGATGTGATAGAGATGACCTGTGAATAGAGGAGTCTCAAAATCCCTACCTAAATCCAAATTTATATTCCGGGCCTGATAACCAAGAGGTCACAGACACAGACAATGTCTCTCCTTGCTTTTATGTTTTGGTGACATTTTAACTGACTCCTATTTCTCATGTGTAAAATAGATGTTAAACTCTATGGCTTTTAGTCCTAACACACAGATGACAAAAATGTTAACTACCCATGATGCCTTTACACTGCCCAAGACTAGCATGTTTAGAGAGTGATTAGGGGAAGGGTTCCATGGACTCTGGCAGGAGGCTCTCCTTTGTTGATGGTACATGAGGAAATGGAGGATGATGGGCTACTTGCTGGGAACCAGGAAGGTGGGATAATGTCCGAGGGGAATTGTAGGCTGCCAGAGGATGCTTGGGTCTGAGGAGGTAAAGAGAGCTAAGTGCCCTGTTCCATTTGCCCTGCAGACTTGGGAGTGAGACAGGTTAGATGCCATGGAGAAGGACTGGGACTGCCCGGACACTTGTTTCCTTTTTCCATCTGTGTGGAGGCTCTGGTGGGGCCCTGCCATGTCACCTCCTCTCTGGCACACTGGTGTGCTGTGGTTCTACTCTTCAGGTCTCCTCCCTGTTTTTACTGAGTGCAGAGAACTTTCTTTGGGGGACATTATCCGTAGTTGATTTTCCCCTGCTTTCCTACAGAGGTAAACACAGAAAAGCCTAATCAGGCTTCACATCTACCACTCACCCCTCCCTTGGCAGCAGAGGAGGAATAAGTGAGGGGAGTCTCTGAGTAGGAGGAGAGCAGGACAGAATAGTTTGTCATACAACACCTTGTCTGAGAAAGAACAGTGCGGGATGACAAGGCTTTGGGTCAGAGCCAGTGTCAGGGGTGACAAGGTTATACTTCACTTTCCAGGCTTAGGAGAAGACTCAAGGAAAGGCCAGTGTGATTCCGGAAGGACTGATAATAGGGGTTGGGAGGGCAGGTTGGATACAAAGTCTTCCTCTCTGTGGGAGAGAGAGGGGTCTTCAGGTATCACAGGACTGTCTATGGTCCAAACAAACATGGCTAAAGTGAATGGTGTCAAGGCCAGGCCTGTGCATCAGCCCTTCATGGGATTCCTCTCACTACTGGTTCATTCATTGCTTGCTTAATTGTAGATCTCACCTTCTAGAAGGGATAGAGATTTAAGGGGATAAGTTATTCAGTAATATATTAAGTGCAAAAATTAGAACCACACATTTATTAATATATCACCCATGATAGTGCTTGTTTACATAAACTTGTGATATATGTACGGAAATAATACTGGATGGAAAGATGGTAAATCATTTCTTAGAACTATAGATGTAAAGGTGATTTTCATTTATTTCTTAACAATTTGGGTATAGTTCTAAATTTTCTATTACTCTTATTCTGAGAAAAAAATATTCCAAGTTGTCCAGAAAAACTATAGAAGACCGGGGTTGGTGGAGCTAGGTCTTCCATCAAGGTATTTAATCACTGGATACCCATGACATCTTTCTGGGATGGTCTTTTACTGGGAGGAATGAGTTCGATGCTCTTAGCATGAATCCTCTGGAGTTTATATCTCTGGACTGTGCTGAGTGTCACATGTTTTGGATGTGAAACCCATGAAAAAGGTACTCAAACCAGAATGGGAATTCTTTCTTAAAATGGCATGTAAAATCAAAAGGCCAGCCAGGTTCTTGGAACCTTGGAGTAAGTCTCAGTGGGATCTGCTAGTAACTTTTGTTTCTACTAGGCAGAGAGAAACTCGCCTTTACTTGGCAGAGAAAGCCTGTCCATTGTCTCTCACTCACCATTGTTGTGATATCCCTGAGTAGAAGCCATCCAGTGCTTCAGCTCTGGGAACCTGACTCTAGTCTGTAAAGGTAGAGCCGGACTGGAAAGATAACATCCAGCTAAATCAGACAGATGTGCACCTTTGTTGTCTTGATGAAAAACCATTTCATCTCTAACACCCCTTTGGTGTTCATCAGTAAGACTAGGTTGGTCATTTCTAACCCACAATACTGTCAGAGAATCCAAACCCACAATACTGTGAGAGAATTCAAATACATAAATGAGAAACATAGTAGAGAATGTCTAAAGCTAAACAAGGCATTGTTAAATATGTGTTTCCTCATCACCCATGTACAAATTTCTAAGTCCTGACAACTGCCTCAGAGATTGCTTATACCTGTAATGGTTCTTTTTTACCTTTTGAGCCACAGAGGCATAGGGTAGGCAGGCAGGACATCTGGGCTGCAGTCCTAACTGTGGGTGTGGTGGGTACCTTCCTAGCCAGCATGGCATGAGGGATTGCAATGGATGGTAGGTACATGGATCATGTTCTGGGAACCTTGTCAGGTAAGTGGGTCCTCTATTCACTCTCTCCCCACCACAGAAAAACCTGTGATGTCTATTGTCTATCTGCTCTGTAGTGACAAGAATTTGTAAACTTAAGGCCAGGAATTTCATTCTGTAAACTTGTCATTAGGGACTGTCAGTCAGTATGAACACCTTTGGTTCATTCTCTGACACCTCCTGGGTTGCCTGTATCCAGTCATGCCATTCGTCCATCTGCCATGATCCCGATGATCTGATATGTTCAGGGCATGAGTCTAGACACGGAAGAGAAAGTAGAGGACTTCAACACATGAAACCAGCATCTAGAGGGGGCAAGGAGCAAAATGAACACAAATGAGATAAGCTATGGGCTCACAAACCGAACTAGGCACTCTGCAGGGAAGGCAGAAAGAAAGGTGGTCAGAGTCATGCTCTTTCATCTGTATATTTGTGGCTTCGCTGAGAAGGCGGCAGCTGGTACTGAAATGGCAGCGTCTAGGAACTGTAACATCCTGGAACTCTCTAACTTACTTTCCACACACCAATTCAGTCATAACTCCCTTTAGGTGTTAGTCTCTGCCACTGTCATCATCATCATCTTGGTCTTCCTCAGAAAAAGGTTAATAATTTCAGTTCATAAAAGGCTGACATCATCTTTTCTTCCATCTCTTGTCTCTTTTCCCAAGACTGTTCTACCCACTCAGAGAGAAGCTGAGCAGTCAGACCACAGATGAAGTGTTAGGCTTGGGTCCTGCTGCCATACTCTGTAAGGAAATAAGGCCTTGGTAGA